TCCTCACCTCCTCCATCACCATCTGGTACGCTGCAGCCCCAGCCAAGGATAAGGGCCGGCTGCAGCGTGTCATCCGCTCTGCAGAGAGGGTGATCGGCTGCAATCTGCCATCCCTCCACGACCTGCATGCCTCCAGGACCCTGAGGCGGGCAGGGAAGTGGCCGACCCCTCCCACCCTGGACACAAACTGTTCACCCCCCCCCTTATATTTGACTATATTTCTTATTATTTTTTATATTTTTCTAGTTCTCTATCTGTGTTTTACATTTTTGTTTTACTTTTATGTATGCACCATGACATCAAGTAAAATTCCTCGTACGTGTCAACCTACCTGGTAATAAACCTGTTTCTGATGATGGGAAAGGCAAGGGTGGCTCCACTACAGTAAATCAAACTACTATCCCACGTATGGAGCTAACCGCTGCTGTGCTAGCTGTAAACATGGACGGACTGCCTAGAAAGGAGCTCCAGCTACAACTACAAGAATCAGTGTTTTGGGTCGACAGCACTACAGTCTTGAAGTACAAAGCAAATGAGGCCCTATGTCTGAAGACCTTCGTGGCTAATAGGGTTCCTGTAATCCAGTGGTTCCCAACCTCTTTCAGTCAGGCCCCCCTTGTGTAATTGGAAATATTTCCGAGCCCCCCCTAATCCGGTTCCCACTGAGATTGGTAGAATTAATTGTATATAGTTGTACAAACATTACATTTTCTCTGCTAATAATGACAAGACAAAAATATCCAACTATAAGTTTATTGAACATGAACAAAAGTGCTTGTATTGGCATATGATCCAGTGCCACTGTGAAATAATGAGGCCTAATTGAAACAATTACAAGTACTGCTTATCGATCCGGTTCTTTAACATTATTTTTATATGTTATTTTTGTTCTTTTTTAGGGGGAAAACTAAACAAATTAGAAACAGAATTCATATTGATTAATTGTATGTATAGTGTGGATTATGGGCTGCTAGCACACATATAATACCTTCAGTGGTGGTAGTAAGTAGATTTACTCAAGTACTGTACTTATATTGAGGTACTTAAGTATTTCCACTTCTACTTCTACTTCACTACAATTCAGAGGTAAATGGTGTACTTTTACTCCACTACATGTATTTAATACCTTTAGTTACTTCACAGATCTGGATGAATGATGTGAAATATAATCAACTCTTAAATCAGACTTTAGTTACACCTGGGGTACATTTACAAGCTACCCTGCAGTATACTACTTTTACTTAAAGGTCTGGTAGGTCATTTTGGAGAAACCAGCTCGAGTGCGCTAGAATTTGAAAATACACAACCGGAGAAAATCTCCCACTTCCTTACAGAGCCCCTCCTCCAACACACACGAACGCGCACATGACCAATGAGGGCACGAGATAAGTTTGTGCACAGATGGAAAGCTGACAGGCAGGTAGGCCATCCAGTTATTTTAGCCATCCAGTTATTTTTACAGCGCCACGGCTTCCACAGATGACTTTTTTTTATGTATTTATTGTCAAAGCAGTTAATATATTCATTGCTATCGGGATGTTAAGAGCATTCCATGGAATATAACAAAAAGTGTTTCTGAAATAAATTACATACCCCACCTTTAAGTACTTGATCTGAGTCCTTCTCCCACCAAGTCACATGCATATGATGCCTTTTGGCCAGCTGATGGACAGATTGCTCATGTTTCCGCGAAAATACTTAAGGCAAACGAGCATTGACCACATCGAGCTCTGTAGATTAGATTGTCACTTTTGAACACTACGTTCTCCACCGGCGGATCTCTGTGTGCACGGCGCTGCCTGCAGCAGTGCAGCGAGTCTGTGAGCGAGATGCCCCACCCCCCACACAGACGAGAGAGAGAGAGAGAGAGAGAGAGAGAGAGAGAGAGAGATCTGCACCGAACACGTTAGATGTCAAGGGAGATATATTATGCCTCATCATACTTTGTTTATTTGGGCATTATAGCTGAAAGGCTTGTCGTGGGCTCGTCCACTTTTCTTTTAACTGCCGGTTGTGTTAAAAATGTGTCAATTTTATTGATTTTACGAACAAACAATGTTTGTTTACAACTTCTTCCCAAGCTTCACGCGCCCCCCCTGCAATAGTGACCCCCAGGTTGGGAACCACTGCTGTAATCCAAGAAGCAACAAAGATAGACAATGGCGGTACATCAACACCACAGAAAATCCAGCTGCCTCTCATGGTATCACAGCAGAGCAGTGTGTGGCAGAGTTGGATGGAAGGACCAACAATCGTAAAGGTCCCAGACTACATGGTCTGAAAACCAGGACAGTGTGAAACGCTCTGAGGATGATATTGAGGTGAGAAAGCCTGTCTTTGTGCACTTTACAGATGTTACTGAAAGCATGGGCACATTGGACGAGCTGGCATCATCTGAAAAGAGCCGTCTCATGGAGGCTGAAGCTCTGAGAAAGTCTCCTGCTTTTAAGTAAAAGACGTCAAGAATTGGAGGTTGGTACTCATAAAGACGACGCAGACTCAAACAGACAAAAAATAAAAGGATCCAGCAAGATAAAGGTACCTTAAACATGGGGTTTCTTACTGTGGAGGACTTGTACAAATCAGAGATGGAGATCATCCACTATTGTCAACGCCGCAGGTTCCTGGCAGAAATCTCGCTGGTCAAAGGTAACAGTCCCATTTGCAAACTAGACCCACTGCTGCGAGGCGGCATCCTGAGAGTTGGAGGTCGACTCATTAAATCTGCAATACCAGAAGAATCAAAGCATCCCATAATCAAGCCAAAAGACATGCATCCTACAACACTGCTTCTGCAAGATATACATGAAAGAGTTGGACATTCAAGAAGAAACGACATGCTTTCCCGTCTGCGTCAGAAGTTTTGGATTCTTGCATCAAGCTCAACAGTGAAGAAAATCCTGTCAAAGTGTGTCACATGCAAGAAAATACAAGCAAAGGCTCATGGACAAAAGATGGCAGATCTGCTTCAGATAGACTGCTTCCAGACAAACCATCTTTCACCAGTGTACAGTACCAGTCAAAAGTTTGGACACATCTTCTCATTCAATGGTTTTTTGTTTATTTAAAATGTGTTCTACTTTGTAGATTAATACTGAAGACATCAAAACTATGAAACAACACATATGGAATTATCTAGTAGACAAAATAGTGTTAAACAATCCAGAATATGATTTATATTTTAGATTCTTCAAAGTAGCCCCCTTTTGCCTTGATGACGGCTTTGCACACTCTTGGCTTCTCTCAGTCAGCTTCATGAGGTCGTCACCTGGAATGGTTTTCAATTAACACGTGTGCGTTGTCAAGAGTCAGTTTGTGGAATGACTTGCCTTCTGAATGTGTTTGAGAGCATCAGTTGTGTTGAGCAGAGGTAGGGTTAGTGCACAGTGGAAAGCCCTATTTGACTGCTGTTGTAATCCATATTATGGCAAGAACCAGTCAGCTCAGTGAAGAGAAGCGACCGTCCATCATCACTTTAAGAACTGAAGGCCAGTCGATCTGGAAAATGTCAAGAACTTTGAATGTTTCCTCAAGTGCAGTCGCAAAAACCATCGAAGGCTATGATGAGACTGGCTCTCATGAGGACCCCCCCCCCCCGGAAAGGAAGAGCAAGAGTTACCTCTGCTACAGAGGATAAATACATCAGAGTTACCAGCCTCAGAAACCGCAAATTAAAGCACCTCAGCCTAGAGCCCACATAAATGATCACAGAGCTCAGCAGACACATCTCAACATCCACTGTTCAGAGGAGACTGCGTGAATCAGGCCTTCATGGTCCAATTGCTGCAAAGAAGCCACTACTGAGGATGAACAACAAGAAGAAGAGAATTGTTTGGGCCAATAAACTCAAGGATTGGACATTAGAGATTGTAAATCTGTACTTTGGTCTGATGAGTCCAAATTTGAGATTTTTGGTTCCAACCGCCGTGATTTGTGAGACGCAGAGAAGGTGAGCGGATGGTTTCTGCATGTGTGGTTCCCCCCGTGAAGCATGGCGGAGGAAGTGTGATGGTGTGGGGGGGCTTTGCTGGTGACACTGTTGGTGATTTATTCAGAATTTAAGGCACACTTAACCAGCATGGCTACCACAGCATTCTGCAGTAGCCAGCAAAATAACACTTTTTAGTTACTAGATCATTCCATATGTGTTCTTTTATAGTTTTGATGTCTTCAGTATAAATCTACAATGTAGAAAACATTTAAAAAATAAAAAACTTTGAATGAGAAGGTGTGTCCAAACTTTTGACTGGTAGTGTAGGTGTGGATTATTTTGGGTCCAAAGAGGTCAAAAGAGGTCGCAGCATCATTAAAGGTATGGAGCATTGTTAACATGAATGATGACCCAAGCCATTCACCTAGCAGTCGCTCACACATTCCACATGGACTCCGGTGTAAATGGTCTTCGTCGCTTCATGTGCAGAAGAGCTCAAATGTCACTTATGAGATCCGACAACGGCACCAACCTAGTCAGCGCAGACAGACAATTAGTAAGATTCACTATCTGGTGCCTCAGTGGCAGTTTAACCTTTGAGTTAATTTTCAGTTTTATTTTTGTATGATTTAAGCCGCTACACTCCCAAACAAAAACTGATGTGAAAGCTTAATGTGGAATACTGACAAAAAAAATGCTGTCTTATAAGTCAATATTACCCATAATGTTTGAAAGATGCAACGTTGTACACTTGAATGGACCTTCAAGCTAAAAGTAGAGAAGACTTGGAAGAATGAATACGAATCAGGTAAATGTCATTCATGTGTGTCACCTGCAGTATGTATTTTTCCCCTGATTAACTTGTTATTTCTGGTGAAAGGTGAAACTATAAACTGTATTTTCAGTAGAAAAGTTCAACCTGAACATACTATGTATGACAAACTGGCCTGAATTCAAGCCAAAGTTTTGCAACATGCAGGCATTGGCCCTGAATCTAGAGTCAAATGTTGGAATGCTTGCTGAGCCACCAGGAAACTACTGACCTGAGATCTGTTTCTCTGTTTTTCAGGTGTGATAGTCCAGACTAACAAAGATGGCTCCCTGCCATCCCACGTTCTCTACAAAATTAGACAAAATTCCAGTTTTACAGAGAAGACCAATGAAATCAGACGGGCCTACTGGCGCCCTGGGCCCAACACCGGGGGGAAGTTCTACTTCCTGTACGGATTTGTTTGGATCCAAGGTAAGTGACCGAAATGCTTTGCTTCCAATTGAATTTAATGCATCATTTATAGGTCAATATTTGATCTTGTGTTACTTCTGACATGAAGCAATCTGATCATTTCTTAAAGTGGATTACTGGAAGTCTGATGTGCTATAACTAAAGCCACAGACTGGAGTGCACAGGCAGCGAAGACTGTTGCATCAAACACATTGTTTTGATCTATATACACATATACATTTGGAATATATTGGACATTTTAAACACGATAAAATGTTTTCTTTACAAGGAAAACAATATACTTTTTTCAACATTAATAAGCAAATTCAACCAAACCCATATGATATAATACACCACTAAGAAGGAGATAAGGGGTCAGAGCTGTGTGGCTGCAGCAGGCCGACACTATATGTCCGCTGACATGCAGCTTTCATTTCCTCCAGTATCATTTTCAGCATTTACATTTTTGTTCCAACAAATTGTGGATACCTTTTATATAATTTTGGGAAGAATTGCTAATTTGTCAGAGTTTAGGTTTGTTTGAGAGCCCCACACTTCCCGTCCATAGAGCAGAATGGATTCTATTATTGATTGAAGTATTTAAAGTCAAATTAAAATAAAAGTTTGAATTTGCATTTGTCTTTTTATTGCAGAAAATGCCCTGTGTGTTTACTGTTTCAGTCCAGGCCTGAATTATTATTTTCTGAATAGTTTTCTATTGTATGTGTTCTAAGTTTAAAGTTATGTGTCTTTATTACTTTAACTTCCAGGGCCCAGGTCTGACAGTAACATTCAAGTATGTTTAAACTGTGTTGAAGTCCGTCTCTGACAGGATTTAATGATCTGCGTCATCATCCCTTCCCTCCCTTTCTCTCTCTCTCTTTCACACACACACACACACACACACACACACACACACACACACACACACACACACACACACACACACACACACACACACACACACCCACACACACACACACACACACACACACACACACACACACACACACACACTGTCCTTCCAGATATGATGGAGAGAGCCTTTATCAACACGTTTGTGGGACATGATGTGGTGGAGCCTGGGAACTACGTTCAGATGTTCCCCTACCCATGTTACACCAGAGACGAGTTAGAAATGCACTTTGTTTGTTGTTGTTGTTCAGAACGTCATGTTTAGCATGGTCATACATCATTGGAGATTGTCAGAAATGGTTGTATGCAATGTGTATTTTTTACGTTTTTTTGACAATGTTCTTCCTATCTCTTGTAGTACATGTTAGCTCATGTTAGAAATTCTATAGATCCTACACATTTGAAATGAAGGAATTAGCCTTTATTTAAATCTGCATATCGTTCTTCACGCTTGTTTTTTTCAGTTTCCTGTTTGTGATTGAGCACATGATGCCTCTGTGCATGGTGATCTCCTGGGTCTATTCAGTAGCCATGATGATTCAGCACATTGTGGCTGAGAAGGAGCACCGGCTCAAAGAGGTGAGTCTGTGATCATAAGGCAAGTTGATTTATATAGCACCTTTCAACACAAGGCAATTCAAAGTGCTTTGCAAAAATGAAACACATTATGAGCATTAAGAAATAGTGCAGCAGAAACATATTATAAAATGCCATTTAAAAACACTCCTTTAAGAGCAAAGATAATAAAACATGAATAACACAGGTACATGAATAAAAGTTACAGTGTGAGATGTGAATATATCAATTAAAAGCAGCGGCAAAAAGAAAAGTCTTTAGCCTGGATTTAAAGTAGTAAGAGTTGCAGCGGACCTGAAGGTTTCTGGGAGTTTGTTCCAGATATTTGGAGCATAATACTGAACTTCTCCATGTTTAGTTCTGACTCTGGGGACAGAAAGCTGACCAGTCCCAGAAGACTTGAGAGATCTGGATGGTTCATAATTTAGCAGGAGATCAGAAATGTATTTATGCCCTGAACCATTAAATGCTTTATAAACCAGCAGCAATATGTTGAAATCAATTATTTGACAGACAGGAAGCCAGTGTAAAGACTTCAGAACAGGACTGATCCACTTTCTTAGTGTTAGTGAGGAACCAGTGTAAAGACTTCAGAACAGGAGTGATGTGATCCACTTTCTTAGTGTCAGTGAGGACTCGAGCAGCAGCGTTCTGAGTAAGCTGCAGCTTTCTAATACATTTTTTAGTGAGACCTGTAAAGACACCATTGCAGTAGTCGAGTCTACTGAAGATAAAAGCATGGACAAGTTTTTCCAAATCCTGCTGTGACATTAGTCTTTTAATCCTAGATATGTTCTTTAGGTGATAGTAGGCTGATTTAGTAACTGTTTTAATGTGACTGTTGAAACTCAGGTCAGAGTCCATGACTACACCTAGATTTCTGGCTTTATCTGTTGTTTTGAACATTGCAGACTGAAGCTCAGCGCTAACTTTTATACGTTCTTCTTTGTTTCATTCAACATTCTGACACATCCAGTCATTGATTTGTTCAATGCACTTACTCAGTGTTTGAATTAGAGCATAGTCTCCTGGTAGTCCATTATTGGCTTCATATGTCTAACTCATATTTGCTATTAGTGTCCCCATGGTTGCTCCCTGAACTACGTTTCGTGGATAAAAACTACAATGTTATAATAATTGCTATATATCTTATAGATTTATCGTCCACAAATCCATTGGTTTGTTATGAAAACACTTTTGAACAATCTGGCACATGGATGTTTTTAGCTAAAATAATGGAGCTCCTTGGAACCGAGGAAAAATGTATATAAAGCCTTAGCATATATATCTTTCACTAACATATGTACCTTTCCACTTTGCTTAATGGCTTTTAGTTGAACGTCCTTTCTTATTATATTATATATAATTTAGATATAAACCTGTTCCTGCGGAAATCTCCAATTAGTGTTAGCTTTATTTAGAGATAGATTTTAAGCTGCATTAAAGGTCCCCTATCATGCACGATGTCTTTTATACATAAATATGTGTCCCCGGTGTGTCCCCGGTGTGTCCCCGGTGTGTCCCCGGTGTGTCAGGGAACTCACAAAGTGTCAGAAAACAAAACCCTCTCTCTTTTCCTCCGTACCCACATCTCTAAAAACGGGGGAACAACGGAGCTGATCCAGATTTGCGTCCGATATGACGTAATATCAGAAATGTGGGCTGGCTTTATGCCCACGGCCCAATCAGAAACATCGCTGTATCAGAAACAATGCACAGCGTGTTTTGGACTTAATATGGTCTTTGTTTAGATTAGCATGCATTGCTAAAACTCAGAGGCGAGCTAACCTGTACTGGAGAGAGTATGGAAATAAAAAAAGGAACTCACCTTGTAGTAAACCCGAAAGAAAAGAATAATAATAATAATAGCTTGGATTTATATAGAGCCTTTCATGAGACCCAAGGTCGCTTTACAAAGAAGAACAGGAGTAGAAACAAACATAACAAAAACAAAAGGCAGTCAGACAGACAAGACAACAAATAGATTAGGGGCCAAAAGCCTTGGCAAACAGATGGGACTTGAGGGCCCTTTTGAAGGCGTCAAGCGTGGGGATGTTGCGGATCTCCGCAGGGAGAGCGTTCCAGAGGGTGGGGGCTGCCACACTGAAGGCTCTGTCCCCGAAGGTTCGCAGGTTGGTACGGAAGGTGGTGAGCAGGCCAGAGTCTGAAGACCGCAGGTGCCGGGGTGGGGCATGTGGGGGAAGGATGTCCGATAAGTACTGGGGGGCATGGGCATGGAGGGACTTGTAGGTGAGGAGGAGGACTTTGTAGGTTATGCGGGACTTGACCGGCAGCCAGTGGAGGTGGATGAGGGTGGGAGTGATGTGCTGCCAGGGCTTTGTGTGTGTGAGTACCCTAGCAGCACAGTTTTGAACATACTTGAGCCTGTCCAGTATTTTGTTGGAGACCCCAAACAGGACACCATTGCAGTAGTCCAAGCGGGAGGTGACGAAAGCAGGACTAGGGTTTCTGCGACCGACTCCGAGAGTGACGGTCGGAGTCTGGCAATGTTCCTCAGGTGGAAAAAGGCAGATTTGGTGACAGACTTGATGTGGGAGTGGAAGGAAAGGGTGGAGTCAAAGATGACACCCAGGTTGCGGACTTCAGGAGATGGGGAGATGGAGCAGCCGTCAACCTCAAGGATGAAGTCACCAACCTTCTGGAGCAACGCCTTGGGTGCCACAACCATGAGCTCTGTTTTCCTGCTGTTGAGTTTCAGGAAATTGGACGACATCCAGGTTTTTATGTCGTGCAGGCAGTTGACAAGAGACTGAGGGGGCAGCTGGGAGGATGGAGTAGTGCTGAGATACAATTGGGTATCATCAGCGTAGCAGTGGAATTTGAGTCCATGATGGCGGATGATCTGGCCAAGGGGGAGCATGTAAATGGTGAACAGGAGGGGGCCAAGCACAGAGCATTTGAGCTCCATACTATTTCAGAAATAATCCTTGAAGTGGTTTGGAACATGATGGCGTTTCATCACGGCAGCGTTTAGCTGCATCTGAGCAGACAGCCTGCTCGTCACAGAACTCACAGTGTGCCTGCTGCTCAAAAGGGGGCGGGGCCAGCAGAGAATCAGCCATTGTCTAACAGGGCTAAAATAGAGGGATATGAAGGATGTCTAAAATGCATTAGATATGTTTGGTATTTTGAGCAAAACACATTATAGATATGTTTTTTATATATTTGTATATATCTGATACCCATAATTTATGCCTAAAAATAGCATAATGGGAGATCTTTTATGTGCTGAATGAATGTTGGCCCACTGCAGCAGGTGGTTAGGAGGTGGATCTCGTCCTCCAGGATGCTCATAATAACTTTATAATGATGGAAATAACAATGCGTGTGTATAATATAGAAAAGTGTTGTCAACACCGCAAAAAATAATAACAGCAACATAGTTAACAAAAATAACAATACTTGGTATTTATAGTCTGGGTATATGTCTTCACAACCACCCCCCCCCCACCCCCTGTAGTGTTATGTAGAAATGATTAGGAGACAGCGACTGTCTTTAACTGTTTAATAAAGATATTCTTGAGACATAACACCGGAGACTGTGGTGGACACGTTCATGTCTAAAGCACACCGAAGCATAAACTAGTTCCGGGCATTACATCAAACAGGACTGACACCACACACGTATCCCTACGCCCTGTACATTATAAAATAGTACCATTACAACACACCCCCCAGCATTATTTCAGTTTGTGACTCAGCTGAGACTATAACCATTACGCCCCCCCCCCCCCAGGTGATGAAGATGATGGGTCTGAACAACGCCGTCCACTGGGTGGCCTGGTTCATCACCGGCTTCGTACAGCTGTCCATCTCTGTCACCGCTCTGACAGTCATCTTGAAGTATGGCCGGGTGCTGCTCCACAGCGACCCTTTCATCATCTGGCTCTTCCTCACCATCTACGCCGTGGCCACCATCATGTTCTGGTGAGATCTTCCAGCACACTCATGAGTCCATGACTTCTTTAAAAGGTTCAAGCAATGGCACAGAATTTGTTTCACCTTTGAGGAGGAAAAATACGAGTTTATTTGTATGAATCCAATTGAATGTATAATAAACAAAGATTAATACTTTTTCTTGAAATATTACTTTGACTAATATATAAGATTTCATGAAACAGAAACGACGAAACAATAGAAAAGATATCCTTTTTCTTACAGTTTTTTGGTGTCAGTAATCTACTCTAAGGCCAAGCTGGCGTCAGCCTGTGGAGGGATCATCTACTTCCTCAGCTACGTGCCCTACATGTACGTGGCCATCAGGGAGGAGGTGGCCCATGATAAAATCACCGCCTTCGAGAAGTGCATCGCTGTAAGGCCTCCTCCTTTGTTTGAACTGCAGTTGGAGTGTGTTTTAAGAATGTGTTCCTTGTGTTGTCAGTGTGAGGTATTAATTACTTAAATAACCAGGATGATACTAAGGTGAATACAATGTCCGTCCCCCCCCCCCCCCCCCCCAGTCTCTGATGTCCACCACAGCCTTTGGCCTGGGCTCCAAGTATTTTGCATTGTATGAGGTAGCAGGGGTGGGCATCCAGTGGCGGACCATCAGCCAGTCTCCGGTAGAGGGTGATGACTTTAACCTTGGTCTGTCCATGATGATGCTCATGATCGATGCCGGGGTGTATGGAGTGCTCACTTGGTACATAGAGGCCGTGCACCCAGGTAGGATGAACCTCTAAATCTCTTTGCTGTTCTTAGTGTTTGACACATCTTCTCCGATTGATTAGATAAAATGTGTTTCTCCTCTCCTATAGGAATGTATGGGCTGCCCCGACCATGGTACTTTCCCCTGCAGAGATCCTATTGGTCAGGCAGTGGGCGTGTCGAGACCTGGGATTGGCCGTGGTGTGGGGGAGGGGCGGCCCGGCTCAGTGTGATGGAGGAGGATCAGGCTTGTGCTATGGACCAGCGTAGATCTGGTATGGAATAATGATTATTCTGAGCTGATGAGGACATCTTGTAGAGGATATTTGTATGTTCTATAGATCCACTTAACCAGGTTACACTTGAATAACAACAATGTAAACCATCTTACTGATGTGATTGACAGAACCCCATCTTCTAACTTTAATTCCTTTCCTAACTTCTGACTTCCATTCGCCAAGTAAGCTTTTGTCCATGTCAAAACAGATAGTTTGGAACGACCAATCATTTAGGGTTATACTGTTACTTGCTTTATTTGTGAGAAAATGTCACTATTTGAGCATGATGTTTTTTAGATGGCTAGGCTAAATAGAGAACAGCTGTTTAATTATTATATCAACAGGCTTGTTAATTAAGAGAAGGTATTATTATTGGCAGATACTTAAGGTTGCAGAATTGGAAATGTCAGGCCAGCATATGCAAAAGTGATCAGGAAAGTGAAAGTGACAGAAGTAAAATGAGACTGTTAAGACAGTTAAAATATTCGGAATGTTTTATTTAATTTATTTGTAACTCTCTCATTGTAACCCTAGAGGAAATGCGGGGCATAGAGGAGGAGCCGAGCCATCTCTCGTTGGTGGTGTGTATAGACAAACTCACCAAAGTGTACAAGACCGGCAGCAAACTGGCCCTGGACAAACTGAGCCTTAACCTCCATGAAAACCAGGTAGTCTCCTTCCTGGGACACAACGGCGCTGGCAAGACCACAACCATGTGAGGGGATTAGTGTGTGTGCTTGTGCATGTGTGCGAGGATTAAAGTCTGAAGACCATTGTTCAACTTTAATATGATTTTTTTATTCAAATTTTAAGTACACATTCTGTTCAAACTAAAAATACATTTCACATTTTAAGCACCTGATAACTAGGTTTCAATAGTTCCTTCGATGTCTACAAAACACCTGAGGGCTGTTTGATCTGCTGTAGCTAAACCAGAAGCATGAAAACATAAGCATCTGTCAGATGTTTGAGTAAAGAATGAGTATTTTTAAGTTAACAGTTGTATTTTATGAAAGTTATCGAACTACATCAATTTTTGCCCAAAATATCAAATAAGGTGCACAAGATCAAATATACTGTATAGAGGTGAACCGCATCAAAGCGTGCTTGGATTGCCTGCCTGTTTAACCGCCACTGACTGCCTGCACTGGATTGTCACAGGTCCATCCTCACTGGCTTGTTCCCGCCCACCTCTGGTTCTGCCACCATATATGGTCATGACATCCGAACAGATATGGAGCGGATTCGTCAGAACCTGGGCATGTGTCCACAGCACAATGTCCTGTTTGACAAGCTGAGCGTGGAGGAGCATCTGTGGTTCTACTCCAGACTGAAAGGCATGGCTGAGGAGGATATCCGCAAGGAGATGGACAAGTGAGACCAATCTGCTTCCTGCAGTTCAATGTCTCTAACGCATAGAATTATGATTAGCTTATAGCACTGTATAATCGTATTTATAAGCACATTTCATAATGACTTATAATGTCAAGTATTATAATACTTGAATTGCTGCTCCCTCAAAAATTAAACACATTTTAACGTAATGTTTTTTATTTTGTTAGTGCATAGATTTAATGAGCGTTTTTCACTTTACTCAAAGCAAACAACAACCACTTAGATCAGGAGTGTCCAAATTACGGCCCGGGGGCCAAATGCGGCCCGCGGACCATTTTGAATCGGCCCTCAGCAAATTCAAAAAGTATAATGAAATATGGCCCACAAATGAAACTTCTGCTTGTCTTATATTGTACTTCTTACAGGGGTGGGCATTTTACGGCCCGCGGGCCACATCCGGCCCGTTGGCCGGCCTTGGCCGGCCCGTGTGAGGTTGATCATAAATTATAACATAAAGAAAAAAAACAGCAACCTTTTCAAAATAAAAGCAACACAGCTGTATTGCTTGCATGGCGTAAATACTTTTCTAACTGTGTTGCTTTTATTTTGAAAAGGGCGCTGCTGTTTTTTTTATTTATTTACGTAAACGCTTATGCTGTGAACAGCTACGAGTGATGCTGGCCGGCTAGTCCTCGAAATGTCCGCTAAGGGAAAAAAAAGAAAGATCGATACTGAATGCCGCATTTTCAACAAGACATGGACCGCTAAGTATTTATTTACAGAAGTGAAAGGTAAAGCTGTGTGTTTAGTTTGTGGTGCGCAGGTCGCTGTGTTCAAGGAGTACAATTTGAGTCGCCACTATGCTACCAAACACGCAGATAAATACAAGAACCTGTCTGAGGAAGAGCGGGCAAAGGGGTCGGATGCTTTGCTAGCTAAGCTGCAAAGCCAACAACACATTTTCACAAAACATTCCACATCCAGAGATGCAGCTGTCAAGACGAGTTATGTCTTAAAAGTTAACCGTTTTCGGAGGGAGAGTTCATTAAGGAGTGTTTGTTGGACACTAATATGCCCGGAGAAAAAGGAGGCATTTGAGAAAGTGCCGCTCTCCCGACGCACTGTTACGAGGAGAATTGAGGACATCGCGGGAAATCTGGAGCTTCAGCTGCAGAACAGAGCGGTCAACTTTGACTTTTTTTCCTTGGCTTTGGATGAGAGCTGCGATGTACGTGACACTGCCCAGCTACTCATCTTCCTACGTGGGATAACTACAGACTTCAAAATCACGGAGGAGCTGGCAGCCATGCAGTCAATGAAAGGGACAACAGCAGCGAGTGATTTGTTCACGGAGGTAAATGCATGTGTGGAAAAGTTGGGACTGAAATGGGACAAGCTGGCAGGCGTGACAACGGATGGTTGTCCAAATCTGACAGGGAAAAATGTTGGACTATTGAAGAGAATGCAGGATAAAGTGACAGAAATTAACCCTGAGCAGAAATAGGTATTTTTGCATTGTATTATACATCAGGAAGTGTTGTGTAAGTCAGTGTTAAAAATTAACCATGTTGTTGATGTTGTAACTAAAATAGTTAACTTCATCAGGGCAAGAGCATTGAATCACAGACAGTTTGTTGCACTTTTGGAGGAAAGTGAGACTGAACATCGTGACATACCCTACCATGCAGCTGTCAGGTGGCTCAGCCTGGGCAAAGTGCTGAAAAGAGTATGGGACCTGAGAGAAGAAATTCAAGACTTCTGTGTGAAGAAAGGAAACGACATCCCACAGCTTTCAGATGCAGACTGGATGGCAGACCTTGGTTTTGCTGTAGATGTGACTGCACTAATGAGTGAACTAAATGTCAAACTGCAAGGCAAGGGCCTTTTTGTGCATGACATGTACAGTGCAGTGAAGGCTTTCATGAGAAAGCTGCAGCTTCTCTCAAGCCAAATGGAGGACAACATTCTCACGCACTTGCCAACACTGAAGGAAGCCACACCATCAGCTGATCACCTCCAGAGGTACTCATCCATGTTAGAAGCACTGCATGGTGAGTTTTCAAGGCGATTTAAAGACTTCAAAACAGTTGAGAATGAAATGAACATGATATTTTCCCCATTTACATGCCATGTGGATGATGCACCCAGTGATGTTCAGCTTGAACTCATTGACCTGCAGTCTGACACACTTCTGTCAGAGCACTTTAGGTCAGTCTCACTGCCTGAGTTTTACTTTTCCCTGAAAGAGGAGAACTTTCCACACATCAGGAGACGTGCTCAGAAGATGATGGTCCTCTTTGGATCTACCTACATATGTGAACAGACATTCTCAGTGATGAAGTTCAACAAATCCAGATACAGATCCTCTATCACTGATGATCACCTCTCAGCTGTCCTTCGCATATCCACCTCAGACATTGAACCAGATTTCCGTGCACTTGTTCAAGCCCAAGACAGACTGGATTTTTCTCACTGAACAAGTAAAATGAACTGAAAAACAAAAATCAAAAGCACTCATTTCTTTTTGTATAAAGCTGATTCATTTCTTATCTTTAACATACTGTAAAACACCTTTTCAGTATTGGAATATTGAGCAGAATTAAGTTCAACTTATTTTTGATTCGGCCCCCCAACACAGCTCGAGTTTCTGAAGTGGCCCCTTGTAAAAAATAATTGCCCACCCCTGTCTTACATATATATGTTCAAATATATTACACAGTATTCATGTGTTAATAAGCCACATTTTCAAATAAATTCAGTCAATTAAAGTTTATATTTTTTTCTAACAAATCTAAGTTCATAAGAAATAAGCCCAATAACACATTTACATAACAACCTTGAAATATACCCTTCATATTTCCTCTTATTATAAGCGATCTGAAGCTTGTGTTTTAAGGAATAAGCCGCCAACCAAATAAATGAAACCCTATGGAGAGCTGAGATGTAGGCTGTTTGTTCCTTAAAGCATTTTCAAGTATCAAGAATAGTTTACCTACATTTGATGGATTTTTCTGATGATGTGAAAGATGCAAAACAAGTTACACAACTAGTACCTAGAGTAGGTATTTACTCAATACATTCTCAAATAGAGACGGGGGTCTTTATTCACCTGCAGGGGCCTTTTTTGGAACAGAATTTATGTTCTCTCCCACAGCCACTTATTAATAGTGAATAAACTCTGGTAGTTAAAAAAATAAGCAAGCGATACACTTTCACGCACAAGTTCTCCCAATGTTTCCCAATAAAAAGTTTGCCAACCGGCTCAAAAATAGTCCTTCCCTACCGGGATAGCTCTTATTGTGAAATAGAGAAAAGAGAAAGGTTTAAGTTTCACTGATTGTCACTAACAGTACTGAAAAACAGCAAATTAGATTCATTTATGATTAATGATTTAGAATAATTATGAAATAAAAATATTTCTGTCAACATAAGAACAGGATGGGCAGAGATGGGAGAATGAAATGACGTCTCCAGGAAATGCATGTAAGTCAATGTAATGTCCCCTGAAGTGGTGTGTGTGTGTGTGTGTGTGTGTGTGTGTGTGTGTGTGTGTGTGTGTGTGTGTGTGTGTGTGTGTGTGTGTGTGTGTGTGTGTGTGTGTGTGTGTGTGGTGTGTGTGTGTGTTGTGTGTGTGTGTGTGTGTGTGTGTGTGTGTTTGGTGTGTGTGTGTGTGTGTGTGTGTGTGGTGTGTGTGTGTGTGTGTGTGTGTGTGTGTGTGTGTGTGTGTGTGTGTGTGTGTGGTGTGTGTGTGTGTGTGTGTGTGTGTGTGTGTGTGTGCGTGTGTGTGTGCAGGATGATTGTTGACCTGGAGTTATCTAAGAAGCGCCACAGCTTGGTGCAGACGTTGTCCGGCGGGATGAAGAGGAAGCTGTCGGTGGCCATTGCCTTTGTGGGCGGCTCCAGGGCAGTGATCCTGGACGAGCCCACAGCGGGGGTGGACCCCTATGCTCGCAGGGCCATCTGGGACCTCATCCTCAAGTACAAACAGGGTGAGTGGAGACCCCGTACCAGAGCACACCACCACCTATTCTCAAAGATGTCACTGCAAGGCAGGTCGCATTGAAAAAAGACGCTTGTGACACTCTTACATGCTAATCTTAAAGACTGTATGTAAAACAAGACCTATTTATATATGTTTTGGATTTCTTTACATAATTCCAAATGTTTTCAACAGTTTCCTCTGTTGTCTTAGTTGGTTGCCTGTAATAAGGATTTATGTGTCGGGGTTGTTTGTCTGCAAGAAGCTGTCATAAATTGAAAATGTCTCTTATTTTGTCATAAGACAACTGGATCTGAAATAATCAGAGAAACAAACTGAGTAAGGTTTGCTGCAGAAGAACAGCCTGGGAGGAACATTCCACTCCACACAGAGGAATTCTGTGTGTGTTCAGTGTGAATCTAAACCAGTGATTCTCAAACTTTTTCTGTCAGGCGAAAAAAAAAAGTCGGGCCCCCCGAACACAAATAGTCACGTAATGGGCCATGTTAACATTTATTAAAATACATCAATATGAACGTGAGCATTCCTTTTAAAAAAATCACTTTGCTAGAACAGTGATAATAAAACAATGCTCCATAAGTCTGTGTGCTCAAATATATAATACAATTGTGCAATCCCTTTGCTAGAACAATAAGTTATAATACTTTGCCACTTTGCAAAGAAAATGCTGATATTTGGCAAAAAAGTGTGTGTTATCACAGATGGCTGCAATGAGCCTGTGTTGCACTGCACATTTCTTCAAAACGGGGTTGCAGGCTCAGTGGCGGCGCCAGAGATTTCTTTTGGGGGTGCTGTGCTTGACGTTTCATAGAGGGTGCTCAAACATTTAGGGTTTCCCATTAATGTACCGGGCGCTACAGTGGAATGTTCTACTGCAACAATCCCCACGCAAATACACAGTGTGACTGTTACAATGAAGGCTCGATAATCAGCTCACGGCATATAGGTGTAAGCAGGGGTAAAGTGCTATTTTATAAGTGGGGAGTGGACCTCACATAGGGGGGTCCAGGGGCATGCTCCCCAGGGACGATTCTTTTTTAAATATTGAAGTTAAAAGCATCAATCTGGTGCACTTTGAGAGCAACATGAAGAGATCTATGGATACATCTCTCAACACCCATATGAAACAGAACTGTAAACAGATTTACTTTTTCTTTATGGATATTTTACAAATCACTCCCCTTGTTTTACTGTCATATAGTATTTCATACCGGTTTTTCATTTATTCTCTTATTTTTGTATAACTATAATGATCATATAAACGTGTGCCTCGGAAATAATTGTTTACATTAATCGTGACCAAACCGTTTGAGACCCACTGAGATAACTTAGACTAAAGTTAACTATCTAAACACTCAGAGAGTCCTTTAGTTCACTGAGCCTCTCAGTCTGACAGGAGAGGACTCTCCTCCAGCTTGTTGTTGAAAAAGCTCCTTATATCCGTTAGCGTAGCTCGCTAGCACCAGAAGCTAACAACAATGATCTCCGGTACCGGTGCTCTCTCTCTCTCGCTCGCTCACGCACGCACACAAAATGGCTCGTTCCACACACACACAGAGCCGAGCTTGAATGAAACACAGAGACCCAGACGTAATTGTACTGTACTGTATCATATTATTTTCGAATCATAATTTTTCAAATTATGATTTTTTATTTTTTCTCTCCCTGTCATGCCTCTGCGCCCCCCCGGACAAGCTAACTGCCATCAGAAACTCCTGTGATCCAGGGCTACAGTGGCGGCGCTAGGGGGTGGCTACTTGGGCTCAAGCCCCGGATGTTTTCTGAAAAGCCCCGAATGTTTCACTTGAAGCTATTCTTTTTTCTTTCTTTTTTTAAACGTCTCGTGAGTAATGTGCAATACCGGAGTCCAACAGAGAGGCAGCAGCTGCGGGACAGTAGCCTGCGTACTGCTTAGCCTTCCCTGCCCTGAAGAAGAAGTGATCCTTCGTTAGCGTGAAGAGTCTGCCTTATGCGCTCCGCAGTAGCCCGGCCCGCTGCGAGGCTCCGGCGAGTTCACAGTTCACAAGCGTGCTCCACTAGCACCTCCCCCCCTCCCCCCTCAACAACTTCAAAATTCTGGGCTAAGCCCCGGATCTCCTACGATCCTAAATCCGCCACTGCAGGGCTACCTCACAACTTCCGTCTTTCTTATGGTTTTGAACTGAGAGACTCCTAGTGGCAGAACATTTAAAATGTTTACATTATGGTTCAGATCCAGTGTTTTTTTTATTTCTGTTTTATAATTGCAGTATGTGTGTGTTCCACCTCCGCCCTAGGCCGCACAATTCTCCTGTCCACCCACAATATGGATGAAGCAGACCTTCTGGGAGACCGCATTGCCATCATCTCCCACGGGAAACTAAAGTGCTGTGGCTCACCACTCTTCCTGAAGAGCACATACGGAGACGGATACAAACTGACTCTGGTCAAAAAGCAGAATGAAGGCAGAGGTGTGTGCCCTTTCTCCATACCAGCTCTAAACTGCTCTTGTTGTCACTTGTTCCACCTGTTAGGTTGTCAGACTGGAAATCATGGACACTTTTACAGTCAAACTGATAGTAGCATAGGAGATGCCAATTACCAAACCACTGGCATCTTTCTCTTAGGTTCCTCTCAACAACAATATAAGTCATATTGCGTTTTAGATATGACCTATATTGTTGTTGTTGTTGTTTTGTATTTGCTGGGATACTTGGAAAGGCCATTAATTGGCATGTGAAAGGTACATACTATTTTGTGATATTGTCACTTCTTGTTTTGGTTTTATTCTTTTTTATTGACATGGCTATGCCTTGGGTTTTAGCCTCCAGGGTTCCCATCAGATCCCATTCTGATTCTGAAGTTATGACAATGTAATATCATGGAATACATGTTGTTTTGTTGTTTGAATGTATTTGTGGTTGTTGATGTGCTGAAAGCAGAGTCCTGCATCGGGTCGGGTACCCGCGGGTCTGGGTAAAACAAAGAAGATGCAGGTCGGATTGCGGGTGTTGCATAATAAATATATTACAATTATAATAATTTAATGTAATGTTTAAATCCTATGACCTCTCCCCCGCGGGCCCGCACATTACCTCTGACCACTCCCCCCCGCGGGCCCGTGCATAATCATAACATCTGCACCGCCAATCTGCTGCTGAGCGTGCCACATTCGAAATGGCTGAGCCGGTGAAGGCGAAGCTCTCTAGCGGAGAATACAGTATTGCCGAAAACTCTTCATCAAGAGCAAAATCCATTGTCTGGGAGGCTTTTGGGCTCATCCTAGATGGAGAACATAATCAGGTCGCTGGGTTTGCTGCTTGCAAGAAGTGCAAAAAAGTGTTGGTACAAGCTAGGTACTTCATCATTGAACAAAACATATGGAGTCGAGCTGCGCTGCCAATGCCACAGGTACAAGACCAATCAATCAATACTTCACCAATAACCACGATCTTAAAGCACCCAAAAGGGAAGACAAGGAGACTGTGTCCAAATTAGCAGTACAATTTGTCTGCAGTGATGTTAGATCATTCGAAACGGTGTGTGGCGATGGTTTCACTGGATTAGCACAGGGATTGATTGACATTGCGTGCTGGCCGTGTCGATGCAATGCAGCTGTTACCAGATCCGACAACAATATCTCGCAGAGTGACAAAATATGCAGAAGACATTCGCCAAAGCATAATTCCTGAGCTGAGAGAACAGATGAGTGAGTACAATGGAGCAGTCACTTTAGACATACATGTGGACCGGCGATTATCGGAAAATAAGCTACCTTTGTCACACAATACATTACATCACTAGCAAGTGGGAGCTAGTCGAAAGAGTGCTTTCTACGTCGGAATGGAATAGTACCTTGCGTAAAACGTCTGATAACATCAAACCAGCAATAATCCAAGCCCTGCGGAGATACAGCATTGAGGATTTCTTCACCAAACTGGTGTGACAGACAGGGGTTCAAACATAGTAGCAGCCCTTCGCTCCGTCACAAGACTGAGCTGTGCTGCACACATCCTTAACACCGTGCTGTACACTACGATCGGGAAACCAAGTCAAGAAGATGCGTTCGGAGAGGAAGTGACTACGCTTGTCACGGGGGCAAAGTCACTCGTAACTTACTTTAAGCAAACGAGTATCCAGAATCGCCTTAAAAAGACATTAAAAGCATCAGTGGAAACGCGCTGGAACTCAGTCCACACAATGCTCGAGTTGATCAGCTGTCAATATGAGGACGTTCGTGCACTGCTGTTGGAAAGGGGGGAATATGGGATTAGTTTTGTTTCATAAAGATAAAGCAACACTTTCTCAGAATCAAGCAAAACTAAGAGTTTAAGAGAAAAAAAAACTGAGTCAAGCTAAATACATTTAATTTAAAAAATGAAACTATAATTTGCAAACAAATCATTTGTGTAATCATGTAAACCATAAGTCTTTTTTCTTTGTTTTAACATGTCTTTTTGTTTGCAGTTCTCCTGGGGAGTTTTCATGAACATATCGGACTTATCTTATGGATTGCTGTACAACTTGTGTTGTGTAGTTTATACTTTATTCCAACTTTAAATATTTTAATACCTGAACACACTGCTGCTGTAAAATAATTTCCCAACTTGGGATCGATAAAGTGTTTGTCTATTTATTTATTTGATAGATAAAAAAAACACATCTATGTATTTTCAAGCTAAAGGTGATACACAATATAAACTGTATACTATTATTTATTCAAAGACATTTTACATTTAAAAAGCATATATTGCTATGTTTAGGACAAACAATTAAAGACTGCTTTAATTTAACAAATTCTACAATATAAAAGTGGCAGATTTGCTTTATTAAACAGACCAGACCTAGGCTGCATACCAACACAATTAGGAACATGCTCACATCTTACTATGTTGGTCTGAAGAGCTGAAGCATTCATACACAATGGATAAAAACTGTGTTGTCTCATTCTATATCCTGTTAGAACATGATATACATTTAGCATTAAAAATTAGACATACTATTCCTAGCCTGAGGAAGATATGAATAATCAACAAGTTTGAATGGAATCTCTAACATTTTCATGTAGAATAAAGACAAAAGAGTGGTTATACAAATGACATTGACATTTGAACCAGAAGATGAAGTCTCAAAGAATGTTTTAAATAAAAGGACATAAAACAAAAAGGTGGATAATAATAACATCTATTAAATGTATATGTAAAGACATTTGGTCAAATGAAATGACACTGAGCAAGTGATAACAGCAACGCCAGCGTGGATGAAGCTGGTGCAGGTCTTTCTTCATGCCCCCCCTCCGTGCTGTCCCCTCAGAGGAAGTGGGAAAACGGGATAAGACCTCTGGACACCACGCTGTCTCAATGATCCACACTGTTAATATGAGAGGAAAATAAATGTTTTAGGAAATGAAAAATATGAAGTTAACAAATAAAACACAGCTCAGGGGCATCATGGACGGTAGGTTTTCTTACAAAGAGAAGTAGTAAACTCAGCCTCCATTGATTTTCATATCAAATTAGCGTGTTAATAAAATAAGCTATCATGGCTTATACTTGCATATCTAAACAGAATCATGAAAGCATGTTGGTAGAGTCAGGCACACAAGTCCGTTTGAGTGTGTCTGACTCTACCAACATGCTCACGAACTGCTAGCTAAGTAGCCAACTGTCCCTGCTGTTAGTCTGCTCAGCTAGCATTGGTATGGATCTAAAGGTAGCAAAAGCTAACTTTCATAGCACAGCTTTTCTTTACTTAACACAATAAAGAAACAGACCGTATAGTACAGCACAAACAACACAAATGATCAATACTTACATATATTTTCACTTGTAGTATTATAATAATTGAAATGCTGGTTCTTCTGGGGGTGTCCTATGGTTCTATCCACGCTCAGCTACCGCACCGCAGCTGCCTGCACTGTACAATCGCTGGAGGACTGGGCTGTCACTCAAAAACTGAGTAGCCAATGGGGACGCACCCCTGAAAGTCCTGCCTACCTTGGACGTTTGTGTCAGAATCGAAAACAAAAGATGAGGGAGCGCAAATGCGAGAGCTGCAGCGAGAGCAAAAGTCTGATCATTGAGAAAGAAGCAAAGAGAACTGCAAACAAAAAGATATGTTAAAACAAAGAAAAAATACTTATAGTTTACATGATTACACAAATGATTTGTTTGCAACTTATAGTTTTATTTTTTAAATTAAATGTATTTAGCTTGACTCCGTTTTTTTTTCTCTTAAAGGTAGGGTAGGTAAGTTTGAGAAACCGGCTTGAGATACACTTTTTGTTATATTCCATGGAATGCTCTTAACATCCCGATAGCAATGAATATCTGAAGTGCTTTGACAAAAAATCCATAAAAAAATATCATCTGTGGAAGCTGTAATACTGTAAAAAGTACGACCTATCATTTTAGCCGGCACGGCTAAAATAACTGGATGGCCTACCTGCCTGTCAGCCTTCCATCTGTGCACAAACTTATCTCGTGCCCTCATTGGTCATGTGCGCGTTCGTGTGTGTTGGAGGAGGGGCTCTGTAAGGAAGTGGCAGATTTTTTCCGGCTGTGTATTTTCAAATTCTAGCGCACTGGAGCTGGTTTCTCCAAAATTACCTACCCCACCTTTAAACTCTTAGTTTTGCTTGATTCTGAGAAAGTGTTCCTTTATCTTTATGAAACAAAACTAATCCCATAGGGAAAGAGGGTCGTCTGAACGACTTGAGCGAAGAAACTTTGAATGCAATGGTGATGTTTCTTCAGAGATTCAAGGAGGCTACTAAGGCACTGGAGGCATCCAAAACTCCAACCCTTCACCTCACCGCTGTGTGGCTCGATCGCCTCAAACGCCACCTGCAACCATCCTCCACTGACAACCTGACATTCTCCTCTCTAAAGGCAAAATGTCTCAGAATTCTGGTTGAAAAGTACGAGTTACACCTCCTGCACAAACTGGCCATGTTTTTGCATCCAAAGCTGAAAAGTCTGAAGCTGCTTGCGGAGGAACATGCAATGGAAACAGTGCACAACGAAGTGCGGCGTCTTGTGAAAGGTAAGGCCGAAGGAAAATACAAGTGATCTCACCCCAGTTAAAAAGTGTGTTAGGTCTACTACATGTCAGCTTGACTGATCTAAATATAACAGTTTAAAAGTGTCCGCCTTGTTGCAATTGCACTGGTTTCAGTTGGCTTCAATTAGTTTTATATCGTCAGCCATAATGACTGTAACATTATGAAACCAAATAAATGCACGTAATTGTTGCATAACAATATGATAACGTTCCGTTTTTAATAAGTCATCTAATTGATATGTGTCTACATGAATATAATTAAATGGAATGGATGGCATCATTTAGGCATTGTATTTCCTGGATTAGGCTACATTCGTTTTAAAATATACTATCCAAATTTCACATATGAAATGGCCAACAATTATCACTTTAAACGTCGTAGGTTAGGCTACTTGATTATTATTATAATTATTATTATTATGTAATTATTAACATCCCACGCTTTTTGAGCCAAATATGCAACTGCGTGTGTTCATAATTGCATGATTCTCTGCATCTATAAGTTAGCAGCTCGAATAAATCGTCCAGCTGAACATTTAGTGGAAACGCAACAAATTAATAGTTTATTTTCAGTAAGTGTTCAAATTTCATCGGTTCCTTCAGAGCCACATGCTCTTATTACTAATCGAAAGGTTGCCTGGTGGCGCTCTTTCAGCATCTGGACAGCTCCTCAAACTCCTACAGCTTGTATTTAAGGCAGCGCTCTCCCTCGGGAGCTCCATTTCCCTTTAATCGTGCTCTGTGAATTCTGTAAATTCTTTCACTGCTCATATATATGCGGGTAGCGGGGCGGGTTCGGTATTGCACGTCGCGGGGGCGGGAGCGGGAGCGGGTCTTGAAAATCAGACCCGTGCAGGACTCTGGCTGAAAGTCACCTGTTCAACGCTTCTCTTTAAAAGTGCGTAATAACGTTCTGTGTGCCTGCCATGTGTTAGCTGTTGGGACTCAGATCCTCTCAGTCTGTCACTGATTCCCTTTCTAGTTGATGAAGTGCGGACAGCCTCTTCTACATTGTATAGGCTTCGCCCTCTAAGGCTATCGCTATTGGGTAATCCCCTGCGCATGCGCAGCACTGAAAGACTTGTAATCCACGCCCACCTATGACGTGGGCCCCACCTACGGACTCACTTCCGTATAAATAGGAAGGAGGCCCGACAATCTGCTCCCACTTTTCTTCAGCACTCCGTTGCAGAAGCACTGTCAGGCACACTAAAAAGCAAAGATTCCTCCTCTAAAAAGCTTTGTTTCTAGTGATAAAATGGAGAAAGGGCGGGTAAGTCAAGGTTGCCGGACAGCGACCCATGTTTGCCTTTCATGCTAGGCGGGTTACATTATGACCTTTGACCGGCACTCACAGTGTGAGTCCTGTCTGGGATTGGAGCATGCAAACCCGGCTCTCACTCCCCAGGTCATGCTCACATTGTGCCCGTCTCCCTCTGGCCCACAGACAGCAGAGAGCGGACACTCTCGCTGCTGCTGCGGCCGAGGATGATTGGCCAGTCCAGGAGTCTGACTCCGTGAATGAAGCCCTTGACTTCCTGGATCCGAGTGGCGGGCAAGAGTCGGATGACTCCGTCCCCATTCACGGATCACCAGGTGGTTCCCCCATCCTCTGGACGGAGGAGAGAGCCCATTCGTCAGCCCGGCAGACGAACCGGTGGTCCCTCTCTCCGCCTCCACGGCTCTTCCGTCTATTGTCAGAATTCTCCTGGAACTCCCGGAGATCATCTCTAAGGCAGCCGCCTGGAGAGATCTCCCCGTTCCCCCAGCTCAGGAGAACTCGCCTCCGGATGACATGTCCGGGGTGTGCTCCCGGGTACAGAGGGTCAGGAGTGACCCGATCTGGCCACGCTTCCCGGCCATTAGGAGGTACCAGGAGGGGGCGGTGGCGGACCCTAGGACCCTGAGGGCTCCGGTGTTGACATACGTTCCCCTCACGAAGGTGGAGGGATTTACGGATGTGGGCTTTCCGACCGTGCCTCCTCTAGAGCCGAGCCTCACGGCGTTCTTAAGCAGTCCAACACGGTTGCCGGACAGCGACCCATGTTGGCCCAGAGATCAGTTTGTCACCCGACAGACCAACCGGATGCACCAGTGTGCTTTCCAGGCGTCAGCAGCGGCAAACAATATAGCGTTGCTGTCCAACTCAATGGTGAGGATATCTGAGCAGTCCGCCACCATGTCCTCAGTGGAGGCTGAGGAGATCGGTAAGGCGGCCAGCACTGTACTTACCCTGTGCGCGTCAGTCACAGTCTCGCAGGCGCGGCTTGGGCGACGCAGGTCCACCGGTACCTCTGGCTACAGCAAGGATCTATACCGGAGGGTGCAGGTAAAGAACTGCTAGAGGCTCCGATCAGTCCGGACCCCAGTTCCACACCATGGTGGAGTCTATGAAGTCTGCGTCTGAACAGTCAAACAACATTAGACGTCACGTCAGCTGGCTTCAGCCTGCTGAATGTCCCCAGCAACAGCAGCGACAGCAGCACCTGCAGCAATCACAGCGGGGGCAACGGCGAGATCAGCAGCGGCATCAGAATCGCCCTTCGGTGGCTGCAGGGGCATCGTCCCATATCTCCGCTCCTCCGCCACCTCAGAGACAGAAGGGGGGTGTCCAGTGCCTTGCTCAAGGGCACCACGGCAGGGCATGAGGTGAACTGGGACCTCTCCAAGTAGAAGTCCACACTCCATATTAAGGTCTGGTCGGGGACTTGAACCGGCAACCCTACGGCTCACAGTCCAAGGCCCTACTGACTGAGCCACTGCCGGACATGCCGTTTAGTCACCTTTTTATGAGAGGGATGTTCCCTTTTTTCCCCTCTTTTATCGTTTTAACAAAGTGTGACATTCTACTTTTCACAACGACCTTCGTCCCCTCATGGAGAATATTCTTTTTTTAAATGCTATATTCCCAGGGACTGTGATGCACCATTACGCATGGCGTAATGAGCATGGGGTATTAATTGAGTAGTTGTGTTTTTGTGCTTATGGTAACGGACGGACCAGTGGGGCGTGGACTACATCCTGCTTCGCCCTTAACCCAATAGCGATAGCCTTAGAGGGCGAAGCCTATACGATGTAGAACTGGGGTTACGTACTGTAACCCAGCTTCTATGAGTATAGGCGCAGCCCTCTAAGGTTCGGGCCCCACTGGCTCCGCGAATAGCTGAAGAAAAGCTGTTTGTGTGGGAGCAGATTGTCGGGCCTCCTTCCTATTTATACGGAAGTGAGTCCATAGGTGGGGCCCACGTCATAGGTGGGCGTGGATTACAAGTCTTTCAGTGCTGCGCATGCGCAGGGGATTACCCAATAGCGATAGCCTTAGAGGGCGAAGCCTATACTCATAGAATCTGGGTTACAGTACTTAACCCCAGTTCTCAATTCATCTTCACCTGTGGTTCTTTTTTACTGACACCACTGTTTTCCTTGTCTTTTGCTTACCTGTCTGACTCTACTTTAACCATCCTGTCCTCCCTGTCCTCCCATCATGCTGTGTGTCCTTCAGGACAGGGCAGCCAACAGCAGCCTCCCTCCTCTGTGGCCCCACCCTCCTCTCTGTCCCCCTCCTCTGTGGCCCCCTCCTCCTCTGTGGTTCTGTCCTCCTCTGTGGCCCCCTCCTCCTCTGTGGCCCCCTCCTCCTCTCTGTCCCCCTCCTCTGTGGCCCCCTCCTCCTCCTCTGTGGCCTCCTCCTCCTATGTGGCCCCCTCCTCTCTCTCCCCTTGCTCCCAGGCTCGTGTCAGCCAGTTTATCGGGCAGTTCGTGGCCTCCTGCGTGCTGGTGTCCGACTCGAACACGGAGCTGTCCTACGTGCTGCCCTCCGAGGCTGTGAAAAAGGGTTGCTTTGAGAGGTTGTTCCAGGTACACATACATAGACACACACACAAATGAATGGTATTGGTTATAGTCCTCTGTTACTAAATAAACAGTTAACATTTTTTAACAATTATTTTTCAAACGGCCACATTTTTCCAGGATTCTAGAGTATGGTTGGGCGTATTGAAGATTACTTAACAAATTCATACATTTCTTATCAACCTGATCCAGCCATGTTCATTCTTTAGGGCAGGCTGTAGCCAACCTATTTTAATGTTAATTAAGTGGATATCCCAAAATGGGTTAATGTCTCAAAAATGAACCTTTGGGTAGGCACAATATTAACGCTTATTTTAATTTACCGCATCTGTGTGGTCCCAACAGCAGCGCTACACACAGAATACAGTTAGAGGTTATTGTTCTCCTCACAATAAATGTGCTTTTCTTTACACATATTTATCTATATATTTTTTACGAATTTGTATTTATTGTAAAGTACTTTAGTTCTTTGGGGATTGAGAACCTTCAGCACAGGTAAAGATAATAAGAATTGTTAGCAATATACAGTGGAGGAAATAAGTATTTGATCCCTTGGAGATTTTGTAAATTTGCCCACTTACAAAGAAATGAACAGTCTTTAATTTTAATGGTCGGTTTATTTAAACAGTGAGAGTAAGAATATCAAAAAGAAAATCCAGAAATTGACATTATATAAAAGATACACATTGATTTGCATTTAACTGTGCGAAATAAGTATTTGATCCCCTTGCAACTACAACAAGAATTATGGCTCCCACAGACCAGTTAGATAAGTCCTCTTCCTTTAGGAAAGTACTCCTCATATCAACTTGTTACCTGTATAAAAGACACCTGTCCACAGAATCAATCAATCAGATTCCAACCTCTCCACCATGGGCAAGACTAAAGAGCTGTCTAAGGACCTCAGGGACCAGACTGTAGAGCTGCACAAGGCTGGGACTGGCTACAAGACCATCAGAAAGCAGCTTGGTGAGGAGGACACAACTGTTGGTGCCATTATTCAGAAATAGAAGAAACACAAAATGAGCATCAATCGCCTCATTGTGTGGAGCCCCAGCCCACACAAGATCTCGCCCCGTGGGGTATTGATAGAAAGGTGAGGGATCAGCCAAGAACTACACGGGAGGAACTTGTTAATGATCTCAAGGCCCGCAAAGCCCCCTGATCAAGAAGAACATGAAAGGCCGTCTGAAGTTTGACAATGAACATCTGAATGATTCAGAGAAGGCTTGGGAGAAGAGGATGTGGTCAGATGAGAGCAACATCGAGATCTTTGGCATCAACTCGACACGCCGTGTTAGAGGAAGAGAGATGCTGAGTATAACCCCAGAACACCATCCCCCCCCGTCAGGCATGGAGGTGGAAACATTCTGCTTTGGGGGTGTTTCTCAGCTAAGGGGACAGGACCACTTCCCTGCATCGAGGAGAGGATGTATGGGGACATGTACCGTAACATCTTGGCCGATAGCCTCCTTCCCTCAGCCAGGACTCTGAACATGGGTCATGGAGGGGTCTTCCAGCAGGACAATGACCCTGAACATACGGCCAAGGCAACACAGGAGTGGCTAAAGAAGAAGCACATTCAGGTGAGGGAGGGGCCTAGCCAGTCTCCGGACCTTAATCCCATAGAAAATCTGTGGAGGCAGCTGAAGCTTCCAGAGGCCAAGCATCAGCCTCAAAACCTGAAGGGTTTGGAGAGGGTCTTCAGAGAGGAGTGGACCAACATCCTTCCTGAGATGTTCACAAACCTGGTGACCAGCTACAAGAAGCGTCTGACCTCTGTCTGTCCAACAAGGGTTTCTCCACCAAGTACTAACACATGTTTTGCAAGCGGATCAAATACTTATTTCCCACACTTAAATGCAAATACATTTGTATCTTTTATATAATGTCCATTTCTGGATCTTCTTTTCGATATTCTTACTCTGACTGTTAAAATAAACCTACCATTAAAATTACAAGCGGTTAACCTGTTAAGCCCGAGAGGACCCTAATCCGGGTCTGGCGGGTAGTTTATTCACGAAACTGTGTCTCAGGGCTTCTTAATATTTAAAAACCTATTAATGTGTCATACTCACTTAACGGTTAGAAACTCAGCTAACTGAAGATATGACAATGTTTACCGAAACAAAGCACAAGTCTCACAAGAAGCGTCTAAATTAGCCCTGAGCGACAAAATGCTAACGCACTTAGCACAGAACTCAAGGTAGAATTACCCTTATTACTTATCGTAACTGCACATACAAGATATCCGATTAAAGCTGAGATTCCACAGATTCTATAGGTATTGGTATCATCACTGAGCGATCACAATTCGCGACAGGGGAAGCAAACACAGACATCACAACACGTAGCATCACGGAGCATTCACTGGACATCTCTTACCTTAGCTGTTGGTTTCTGATCAAAAGTCGTGTTCAATGCAGTGTTGTAGTCAAGTCACCAATTCACGAGTCCAAGTCACTCTCGAGTCATCACTCTTCGAGTCCGAGTCCGAGTCCGAGTCACCTAGGGAGAGTCGTAGTCGAGTCCAAGTCCGAGTCACCCAAGGAGTGTCCGAGTCGAGTCCGAGTCCGAGTCATCATTACCTGTGTTCGAGTCCGAGTCCAAGTCCGAGTCACCCAAGGAGTGTCCGAGTCGAGTCCGAGTCCGAGTCATCATTACCCGTGTTCGAATCCGAGTCCAAGTCCGAGTCACCCAAGAAGAGTCCAAGTCAAGTCCGAGTCACAAGTCTTCATGTATTAATCTTCATGGATATATGTGTTGAAATGTAGCTGCTCCTCTACATTGCTTTTATCCTGTCATGTTATACTAATCTGTCTATTGAACTGCTGTGAAGCGAGTTTGGCTACAAATCTTGTAATAGGTGCTATACAAATATAATATTATTATTACCCATAATTTAAGAGATTTAATATTAGCTGCTAATGGTAGCCACCAGAGTGTATCGCAGCTTCCGGTTCCGAGGCATTCTGGCTGCGCAGCCAGTGTTGCCAACTCCATAGTAAGGAAAGTAGCTATTGGCTGTCCTAAAAGTAGCTAGAAGTCGCTAAATGACATCATCGCCTAATTTGCATATTTAGCAATTTGCACGTAGTTGTAATGAAGGAGAGACAAAAAGTGGGAAAAAAACACCCTAAACCTGTTAAGCCCGAGAGACCCCGGTACCGGGGCACTGCCGCAACATCTTGCAGGAAACAGTGTCTGAGGGCATGTTCATTTAATAAACTATGAATGTTTTATATCCATGTAACGGGAAGAAACTCATCTAACTGATCTTTTTTTTTTTTTTTTCAAAAGAAAACCCACAATGCTAACACTGAGCCTCTGAATTAGCAACGAGCGAAAAATGCTAACAGATTACTGCACCGAAAATCACTCACAAAACCTTATTATTTATCTCTTCTCCACATCCATGACATCGATTCACATGTGCGAAGCCCCCACCTTTTCTTTTCACAATGAGTGTGTGTGGGGGACTCCCCCTTCGATTCTATTGGCTCTAACGGTTGAAAAGAGATGTCAATCATCATAATCGAACGAGGGGGGCCAGAGATATGGAAAATGCACGCAAATGACCCCAGAAGTGGGTTTTCTTTCTAAATCTCTCTAAAAAGGTCAAATTTAACTTGTTTTGCATCAATCTTGATACAGGGTACTTATTATATGTTATAGTTTGGATTCCTAAAGCTTTTAGTCTACTATCCCATCCTTCAAGGGTGGTTTTCACTATAAGTAAAAAGAAAATGTTGGACGGACACTATAATTTACATTTTTTTACTATGTTCAATCGGAATTTACATTAAAATAAAAAAGATCTATATTGATTCTGACTTTTTTACATCCAACTCACAGGTTTATCATTGCTTTGAGAAAAGAAGATTATGCATTTACCCCTTTTAAAAGGGAAGATATCGTCATTTGTTCTGGGAATGTCATTTTCGAGCCTGAGACCTGAAAAACAGGCTCAGGGTTTAACAGGTTAATTTCTTTGTAAGTGGGCAAACTTACAAAATCTGCAAGGGATCAAATACTTATTTCCTCCACTGTATAAATGTGACCATTGATCCAGATATAAATGACAGGCCATGTTGTGGTGTTATTGTGGGTCTTGGCAAAGGAGATAGCTCATTGTACAGTTATCTGAGCGTCTCTTGTGCTATGTGTGCCTCCAGGCTTTAGAGCAGAGTCTGGACAGCCTCGCCCTCACCAGCTTCGGGGTGATGGACACCACCCTGGAGGAGGTGTTCCTAAAAGTGTCTGAAGAGGACCAATCTCTGGAGAACAGTGACGCTGGTGAGAGCACATTCTTCCCCCAGGTTTCCAGATAGCTCAACACATGTTTTTAGCTTTCAAAAGTTAGCCATGAATTTCCCATCACTAATAGATTTCTGCTCTGATTTAAAGCTCCGACCTGAGACCTTTTTAATTTTATTCTTTGGCTCCAGGGTTACTGGTTACTTTTCTCCCTCTCTGTCCATTGGCAGACATGAAGGGGTCCCCGGGGGGAAGCTCAGTGGGGAAATCCTCAGTGGGCTCAGCTGGCCTGGGATTGCCACAGGAGGGTTCTGGACCTTCAGTGGAGAGTGAGAATCCGGAGGTGGAGCTGAGTAATCTGATGTCGAGCTCCACCATGAGCCAGAGCCAGTCCTCTCTCAAATCCTCCTCGTCCATTGGTTCAGTGAGGGGAGATGAGGGGGGGTTCCACGCAGACTTCTATGGAGATTACTGTCCGCTCTTTGACAGCAGCCAGGAGCCAGACTCTGCCATTCTGAGGGGTGAGACAGAAATACAGCAGCATGTGTGCCGAGTCCTTGACTTTATTATGTCATACGAACATAGCTACAGTGTAGTTATGCCGATGAAAATCTTAGGTCACAGGCTTCTCCAACAGTGCAACACAATAACACAGATAAACAGAAGAATATAGTGCAAGTAAATAGTAAATAGTAAATACAAAAAGAAAAATAGTTTAAAAAAGTGAAATAGTGAAATAAGAGTCTATATGCAAGTTATTGGAATTATATATTAGAGAAATAGAGAAATAATTACTAAGTAGCAGATGAATGTTAGGGATGTTGTTTCAACAGTTCAGGTGTTTAGCATTCATTGTGGGATGAAACTGTCTCTGAATCTGGTGGTTTTAGTCCTGATGCTGCGGTAGCGCCTGCCAGACGGCAGCAGACAGAACAGTTTGTGGCTGGAGTGATGGGGGTCTTTTATAATGTGGCGGGATTTCTTCCTGAGCCGCTGGGAGTAAAGGTCCTCCATGGATGGCAGCTCCGTCCTGGTGATGTGCTGTGCAGTTTTCACCACCCTCTGTAAAGCCTTACGATTGAGGGCGGTGCAGCTGCCGTACCAGGCCGTGATGCAGCCAGTCAGGATACTCTCTATGGTGCACCTGTAGAAGGTCAGGATGCTCTCTATGGTGCACCTGTAGAAGGTCAGGATGCTCTCTATGGTGCACCTGTAGAAGGTCAGAATGCTCTCTATGGTGCACCTGTAGAAGGTCATTTGATGTGCGCCTGGAAGAGAGGCTGGTGTCCAGCCTTGAGGGGCTCCGGTGTTGAGGATCAGGGTGGAGGATGTGATGTTTCCCACCCACACTGCCTCGGGTCTGCCCATCAGGAAGTTCAGGATCCAGTCACAGAGGGCGCTGTTGAGCCCGAGGTCTCTGATACCCCTTTCACACCAACGGTGTTTCAGGGCCGGTTCGGTGCTGGTGCTTGAAAAGCACTGGGTTTTCCTGTTCACACCGCAGCGGAGCAGCGTCATAGCTCCGGAATCCGGTTCGTTTCGAGCACCAAAAAGTTGTCCGTCTAGAAGCAAGAACCGCATACGTCACGCTTACGTCGGAGGGGGGCGAGATTAACCTGAGCTAACACTTAAGGCGAGTACGGCAAATACAAGTTGTAACAAGCAGTAGTGCTGAGCAAAGTGACTAGAACGCAACCACACACTTGTTAAAAAAAACACACTTTATAAAGTCAGGCAACACTAACCAGGCTTCGTGTGATTCTGTTTACTTTGACCATCCGTTCGCTGTTATTGATCATTGTGGAGAGCAGGCAGACGTTTTGTTTGTTATTATAGCAGCTATCGGATGGAATCAATACATGGGCTGCACAGGTTGTCATGTCCGACTATCACAAGTAGAATCATAATGAAAAATACGTCGGTAAAAAGTGCCTGTAGAAAACTGCTTAGCAAGTAGTCAGTTTAGCTTCGGTTGCTATGCTAACATCACCCATGTTATACCAGAGAAACTTTCATAACAGCGTTGTGATGCCAAACAGCGTCAATTCAGACTGACACCAAACAGCGTCAATTCAGACTGACACACATTCACTTAAGGGGAACTGGGGATATGTATCAGCTGCTTGTGTGACAGTCAGACAGTGAATACTTTAGAGCCGTGTGAGCTAACCCGGAGCTAACGGGAGAATACACTCCCGTTGAAGAGCAGCCGGCCAGCACTGCAGCGGTCGGTAAATGCCGCTGAAACACATTAATAAACAATGAACCACGGCACTCTGGAGAAAAGTATAAGGTTGGAGAAGTCGTTATTTAATTTAATCTGGCTTCGTATGATTAAAAGCAACGCAGTCCCCGGCCCGTTGTTGTGAGGTGAGCTCCGGCGTTGGGGAGAAACTCAGCGACGTAAACTGTGACGTCATGACGCAGCAGCGGCAGCACGAGTCGGGCTCTGAGCGGTGTGAAAAGAGCCGGCGCTAAACCGAAGAACCGGTTCTGAACCAGAAAAGCTCTAGCACGGAGCTTGAACCGGAGTTGCGTTGGTGTGAAAGGGGCATGAGCTTGATGACCAGCTTGGAGGGCACAATGGTATTGAAAGCTGAACTGTAGTCAATGAACAGCATTCTCACATATGTGTTGCTCTGGTCCAGGTGTGAGAGGGCAGTGTGGAGGGTGAGGGCTATGGCGTCGTCTGTGGACCTGTTTGCTCTGTAGGCAAACTGCAGGGGGTCCAGAGATTCAGGGAGGGAGGAGGTGATCAAGGTTTTGACTAACCGCTCAAAGCACTTCATAATGATGGAGGTGAGTGCTACTGGGCGGTAGTCGTTGGGGCAGGTGATTATTGTCTTTTTGGGGACAGGAACGATGGTGGAGTGTTTGAAGCATGTGGGGACTACAGACTGCAGCAGGGACCTGTTGAACACCTCTGCCAGCTAAACTGCACACACCCTGAGAACACAGCCAGGGATGCCATCAGGTCCAGGAGCCTTGTGTGGGTTAACCCTTTTAAAGGATTTGCACACATCTGCCCTATTTAAAACAAAAGGGCAGTGTAGCTCCTGGTCCCTCTGTACCTCCACAGCCTGGCTGCTCTCAAAGCGTGCAAAGAAACTGTTCAGCTCATCTGGGAGAGATGCGCACGCAGACACCTGCAGCACCCCCCGCTGCTCCTTTGTAGTCTGTCATTGTTCTTAGTCCCGCCCACATGTTACGGGTGTTACAGCCTTTGAAGTCAGACTCCACTTTGTCTTTGTATTGTCTCTTTGCACTGCTGATTGCTCTCCGGAGATCATACCTAGATTTCCTGTAGTCCTCCAAATCTCCAGCTCTGTGCGCGATAGTGCGCACTTTCAGCTTTGTACGCACCTCGCTGTTTATCCAGGGCTTTTGATTTGGGAATGTTCATACAGAAACCTTCGGTACCACGTCATCGATGCATTTCCCAATGTAGCAGATGACAGTGTCCGTGTGTGTGTTGATGTTATTGTCCTCAAACACACTCCAATCCGTGGATGCAAAGCAATCCTGCAGTGCTGCATCTGACTCCTCGCTCCATCGTTGTACTGTCCTTGTTACCGGTCTGTCCCTTTTAAGTTTCTGCTTGTAAGCAGGCAGCAGCAGCAGTGAGATATGGTCTGATTTGCCGAACGGAGGGAGAGGGAGAGCCTTATATCCATGTCGAAAAGGGGAATAAACATGGTCCAGTATGTTTCCCCCGCGCGTCGGGCAGCTGATGTGTAGTACTTCGGCAGGACCTTCTTCATGTTAGCGGTGTTAAAATCTCCGGCCACAACAAACGCCGCCTCTGGCCGTGAAGTCTCGGTCTTGTCGATAATCCCAAACAGCTGATCGAGTGCCGTGTTGTTGTCGGCGAGCGGCTGCGGGGGGATATACACTGCTCTAATCACAACAGATGTAAATTCTCTCGGAGGGTGAAAAGCCCGGCATGTGATCATGAGGTGCTCTAGATGAGCGGAACAGTCCGAAGAAATAATCCTCACATCTGTGCACCAGTTGTTATTAGTCATTACACACACACCGCCTCCCTTACTTTTCCCCGAGTTAGCAGTCCTGTCCTGGCGAAAAATCGAGAATCCGTCAGGAACGATGGCGGAGTCCGGGATAGCGGGGTTGAGCCAAGTCTCAGTGAGAATTAACACGTTATAGTTCTTAATGTCCCGTTGAAAAGCAATCCGACTTCTGAGTTCATCTAGCTTATTTTCAATGGATTGAACATTAGCCAGAAGAATACTCGGAAGAGGGGGTTACATTTCCTCAGGTGTTAAATACATATTATCTGAATCAGAATTCACCTATAGTGTTGTTGTCTTTGTTGAACTGCATAATGTGTTTAAGTCTGCAGAATCATCCAGTCATGCAGACATGACATGCAGCTGCCATCACTACAAACCATTTCATTCATTTTTCATGCGATGTGTCCTTCACCTCCAGGAGATGCAGAGAAATGTCCGTCCCAAGAGCCGGAGGTCCTGGAGGGGCAGGGCAGCTTCAAGCTGGAGGGCTGGTGGTTGAAGCTGAGTCAGTTTCATGGCCTCATCGTCAAGAGGTTCCACTGTGCCAAGAGGAACACCAAGGGCCTCTTCTCTCAGATCCTCCTGCCAGCCTTCTTTGTCTGTGTGGCCATGACTGTGGCCTTATCTGTGCCTGAGATTGGTGAGATTTTACATATAAATGTCGAACATAGCTTTGTATCCTGCTTCTCCAGAAACTGTTTTCTTCTGTCCTACAAGGCAGTTAGAAAGTGACGTTATGGAAAAAGCAAGTGAATAGATACTGTCCTGCTGCTGAAGTGTTTGTGCTGTTGATTAAACTCATTGGTGATTACATGTTTGTAGACGGCTGATTGCATTATTCTGCATTATATGGGTTTATTGCATTCATCCAGCTATGAAGCAGTTCTCTATTTGGCTTGACAAGCAAAAACAAGCAGGACTTCTTCTGAGGAGTACAAGGATCCAACAAAGTACTGATGCCAAAATTGCTTTTGGCTTTTGACGGCATTTTCTGATTTGCGGAGTGATGCAAAGAGATATTTGATACGGAGCCCCTAAAGGTTCATGGAAAAAACAAAAAGTATCTTGTGCGCATACTTTGTTATGGTTAGACACATCGAACTGCCCGATTATTACGCCATATTATTAGTTTTATGAAGAAGATGTCCAGTCACCAGGGGGTGTGTGTGTGTGTGTGTGTGTGTGTGTGTGTGTGTGTGTGTGTGTGTGTGTGTGTGTGTGTGTGTGTGTGTGTGTGTGTGTGTGTGTGTGTGTGACGTGCGTGCGTGCGTGCGTGCGTGCGTGGGTGGGCATTTGTTTTCAGAAGATATTATGATAGTGGCGTTCGTTCCGGTGCACTCCGACAGCATTTAGCACTACATCGAGATTAAGATTAAACAAACTTCTTTCACTTCGGAATACACATATGGAGCCAGATGTGTGTAAATGACTGTTCATGGTCATTTGAAAACAAGTGCCGGTGTTGGACAAATACACCGAACACACACACACACACACACACATACACACACACACAGAGCGGAGCTGAGCAGAGCACAAATACACACACATCATGTAGCATTTCCCTCCGAATAATGGTCGAAGACTTGACTGATGATATGAATTTATTGAAATCTCCAATATCAACGTAAGAGCTTGTGCCTCTTCGTAATTTACACATCATGCGCCCTGGTGACCGGACACCTATGGGATTAGTTTTGTATCATAAAGATAAAGCAACACTTTCTCAGAATAAAGCAAAACTATGAGTTTAAAAGAAGAAAAGAACGAAGGGCAGAAAAAAAACTGTAAATAAAATACATTTCAAAAATAAAACTATAAGTTGCAAACAAATCATTTGTGTAATCATGTAAACTATAAGTGTTTTTTCTTTGTTTTAACATAGGTTTTTGTTTGCAGTTCTTGTTTCTTCTTTCTCAATGATCAGACTTTTGCTCTCGCTGCAGCTCTCTCTTTTGCGCTCCTTCACTTTTTGTTTGAGATTCTGACACAAACCTCCCAGGTGGGCGGAACTTTCAGGGGTGCGTCCCCATTGGCTACTCAGTTTTTGAGTTACAGCCCAGTCCTCCAGCGATTGTACAGTGCAGGCAGCTGCGGTGCGGTAGCTGAGCGTGGATAGAACACCCCCAGAATAACCAACATTTCAATTATTATAATACTACAAGTGAAAATATATGTAAGTATTGATCATTTGTGTTGTTTGTGCTGTACTATACGGTCTGTTTCTTTATTATGTTAGTTAAGTGAGAAGTAAAGAAAAGCTGTGTTATGAAAGTTAGCTTTTGCTAACTTTAGATCCATAACAATGCAAGCTAGTAGCCTAATAGCAGGGACAGTTAGCTACAAAGCGAGCAGTGAGTGAGTGAGCATTCAGACACCGGTGCACACACTCAAACGGACTCGTGTGTCTGACTCTACCAACAGGCTTTCATGATTCTGTTTAGATATGCTGTTATCACTGGCTCAGTGTCATTTCATTTGACCAAATGTCTTTACATATACATTTAATAGATGTTATTATTATCCACCTTTTTGTTTTATGTCCTTTTATTTAAAACATTCTTTGAGACTTCATCTTCTGGTTCAAATTTCAATAAATGTAATTTGTATAATCACTCTTTTGCCTTTATTCTACATGAAAATGTTAGAGATTCCATTCAAATCTGTTGATTATTCATATCTTCCTCAGGCTAGGAATAGTATGTCGAATTTTGTATGCTAAATGTATATCATTTTCTCACAGGATATAGAATGAGACAACACAGTTTTTATCCATTGTGTATGAATGCTTCAGCTCTTCAAACCAACATAGTAAGATGTGAGCATGTTCCTAATTGTGTTGGTATGCAACAGTGGCGTCGCCTGGCCTGGGCATCCGGGGCTTTAGCCCCGAATGTTTTTTCTGTAGCCCCGGACAATTCTCCCTTAATAATATAATACATTAACCGTGCTTTACGTGAACCTCATCATGACACGAGAGGACGGCAGCACTGTAATTTCCCGTGTTCAGTGAATGCAACAGAGGCATGACACCAGACCAATCAGAGAGTTGCATAGAAATAAACGTGTGCTTGTGTCATTCAAGCTCGGCTCTGTGTGTGTGTGGCAATAGCGCATTTAGTGTGATAGAGAGAGAGGGAGAGAGGGGGAGAGGGAGGGACGGACCGGTGCCAGCAGGGACCGTGTTGTTAGCATCTGGTTAGCTAGCTGCACTAACGGACATAAGGAGCTGTTTGTTCCACAACAAGCTGGAGGAGAGTCCTCTCCTGACAGACTGAGAGACTCAGGTGAGCTAAAGGACTCTCTGAGTGTTTAGATACTTAACTTTAGTCTAAGTTATCTCAGTGGGTCTCAAACGGTTTGGTCACAAATTATTCAAAAGATTATTTCCGCGGCACACCTTCATATGATCATTATAGTTATACAAAAAATAAGAGAATAAATGAAAAACAGTTATGAAATACTATATGGCAGTAAAACAAGAATAGAGTTTAAAAGGGGAGTGATTAGTAAAATATCCATAAAGAAAAAGTACATCTGTTTACAGTTCTGCTTCATATGGGTGTTGAGAGAGGTATCCATAGATCTCTTCATTTTGCTCTCAAAGTGCACCAGATTGATGCATTTAACTTCAATATTTAAAAAAAAATCTTCCCGGGGGAGCATCCCCCCGGACCCCCCTAGAGGAGGTGAGGTCCGCCCCCCACTCATAAAAAATACTACTTTACCCCTGCCTATATGCCGTGAGCTGATTATCGAGCCTTCATTGTAACAGTCGCGGGTGTATTGTGTGTGTGTGTGTGTGGGGAGTGTTGCAGTAAAAAATGCCACTGTAGTGCCGCCGCCACTGTGGGCTAAGCCCCGAATGTTTTCAGGTCCAGGCGACGCCCCTGGTATGCAACCTAGTTCTGGTCTGTTTAATAAAGCGAATCTGCCACTTTTATATTGTAGAATTTGTTAAATTAAAGCAGTCTTTAATTGTTTGTCCTAAACATAGCAATATATGCTTTTGAAATGTAACATGTCTTTGAAAAGATAACAGTATACAGTTTATATTGTGTATCACCTTTAGCTTGAAAATACATAGATGTGTTTTTTTTATCTATAAAATAAATAGACAGACACTTTATCGATCCCAAATTGGGAAATTATTTAACAGCAGCAGTTCAGGTATTAAAATATTTAAAGTTGGAATAAAGTATAAACTACACAACACAAGTATAATGCACAGCAATCTATAAGATAAGTCCGATATGTTCATGAAAACTCCCCAGGAGACACCGACACTAACGTGGACGAGTGGACTCCGGAGTTTGCTGCATGAGTTGCACTGTATGATCTGTGGTGTAGTGGGCTGTCACTCAAAAACTGAGTAGCCAATGGGGACACACCTCTGAAAGTCCCGCCCACCTGGGACGTTTGTGTCAAAATCGAAAACAAAAAATGAGGGAGCGCAAACGAGAAGAGCTGCAGCGAGAGCAAAAGTCTGATCATTGAGAAAGAAGAAACAATAACTGCAAACAAAAAGATATGTTAAATCAAAGAAAAAATACTTATAGTTTACATGATTACACAAATGATTTGTTTGCAATTTATATTTTTATTTTTGAAATTTATTTTATTTTGCTTGACTCTTTTAAACTCATAGTTTTTGCTTTATTCTGAGAAAGTGTTGCTTTATCTTTATGATACAAAACGAATCCCATAGACATCTCCTTCATAAAACGAGTAATAGGGGGGATAATCGGGCAGTTCGATGTGTGTAGAGGTGTGTGTGTGTGTGTGTGTGTGGTTAAAACGTAGCAGCCTCGATCTCTATTCAGCTGTTCTAATGAAGGTAAACACAGTGAAGGAGTCGCGTAAAAGGCACAGCTCTCTGCGCGCAGATAGCAGATACTGTGAGTCACGGACATGAATTCATAGATCAAAGCAGACTGGTTTAGACTCTACTGTTTTGCGAATCCGGTGCTTAAACAAATAGCTCTAAACCCCTGGCCGAAATGTCCCTAAAATGAAGTCCGAGTTTGAAATATATCTCAAATAATGTATGCTGCCATTTTCCCACATAAACACAACAGTCTGCAATGAAACGGTTGTCTCCTGTGTGCTCCACTTCCTACTCGGCGCACCGGTATCTCGTGCGCACAAGAAAGTATCTCATGGGAACGAAAAAGTATCTTGCAGGCACGAGAAAGTATATTGTGCGCACAAGACACTTTTTTTTCCATGAACCTTTAGGGGCTCCGTAATTTGACCCTAATTTGTCGACAAAATGAAACAAAAATGTTCATCATTTCTGTTCTGGAAATGTACGCAAATAAGTATATCATTTTAAAAGGATATTCCCTAATATTAATATATCAATTTAAAAAAAACAAATGTCTTAATGTTAGTTATCAACTGGGAAAGCTAATTTGTGATATACCTTAGTTCAAAGGTTTCGCCTAAAGTATTCACCTGTAGGGTGCAATAGTTGCATGCTTTGTATCTTCCTTGCCGGTACATGTTGAGGTTTTGCAGTACTTTTTAAAAGAATCCCTAACATTTAGTTTTTCTTGTTTTGCAGGAGATTTACCACCCCTAATCTTGTCCCCATCTCAGTATCATAACTATACACAACCTAGAGGCAACTTCATCCCTTACACCAACGAAGACAGATCCCAGTACAGGTAAGAAGATATTTTTATTAACAGCAATTGGACCATACAGACTGGTATGTCATGGTTCAGCCTAATGATGAGTGTTATTTTAGAAAAGACATACTCAAAAGTTGATCATTGCTTTTGGGGAAAAGTAATTACCACATGTCAACAGATGACAGCTTCCAAATTCAATTAAACTGAACATGATTGTCAACTAGGTCAGCTAAATGCCAACATGCTAACATGCTCCCTAATGACACTTCTAACAACATAGCATAATTACCAGAGGTATGGACTCGAGTCACATGACTTGGACTCGAGTAAGACTCGAGTCACAAATTTGATGACTTTCTACTCGACTTGACAAAATCACAAAACACTTGCAACTCGACGTGGACTTAAACACCAATGACTCAGGACTTGACTTGGACTTGAGCCTTCTGACTCGAGGTGACTTGATAATTTAATTCATGGGTCTCCATAGCTGTGTCTCACTTCTCTTAACTGCCATCCTTGCGTCCCTCACTTGCGTATTTTCCTTGCGTCTTAGTCCCTCCCGCGGGGGTGTTTCACAAACACCCCCGCCTCTGTTAGTACACATTTACTGACATAAACATTTGTATCATCTGTTGTAGACCCAAATAAATAAAATACAATAAGAACTCATTTTCAAAAACAGATGAAAGCCATTCTTAAAATGTATAAACAAACTATAGTTTAATATTTCTTTGCGTGCACAATAGAAAGAAAATAATTGAGAGAAGAGAAAGCATAACAGAAATATTGTGGGTTAAATAAACGTGAACAGATGTTGCATTATTGTAACGGTATTGTTGTAGGCATAAAAATAACATTAAGTAATGGCACCAGACTTGTGTTGGCTGAGACAAATCACGTAATTCATGTCTCAGCTGTGACTGAATGGAAATGACAATAAATAAAAATGTAAAACGAAAAAAGCTGTTCCTGCTGACAGACATTAAATCTGTCTCTCTTTTAATTGTATTGTGTTCATAATAAAAATGAATTGAGATCATGAAAAATGTTTCCAATAAATGAATAAAATTATTTTTGTCCACTTTGTTGTTCAGATATATCACATATTTGTTACTTAATAATACATTAATTGAAACAAAACACTTTATAAACTGAGGAGTGAGTCCCGTGAGTTGAATGTGTTATTTTCACTCCACTGTTAAACTGCTCTGCTGTTAAGAAACATCAGATCAGTGCATGCGCTGCATCATCCAATCAGTGAGCGATACACAGTAAGGGGGCGGGGCGAGTGGCAGAGGATTTCACCGGAGGATGGTCCGCTGGTTCCTCGATTATCGCTCCTCTGTTATCGCGCCTCGATCCTCGGTCCTCCGGCACAAATAAGCGCCATGGGACGCTCCTCAAGATGGCGCATACAAATCAACTTCCGGTGATACCGAGGAGCGAGGAGCGAGGAAATGAAAATTAAATAACTTGAGATCCACCCCAACAGGTCGATCGCGAGCTACCGGAAGAAGAGCCGCCTCCCGTCGGGGAGAGCCGAATGTTTAGCGGCTGCTGCTCAGCATTGCTGAGAATCCATGCATTTCAATGATATTGGAGAATGCAAAGCTTAGTGCAGGATTTGTCAAATGAAAATATCCTTCAGAGCAGTAGGATTCTTTTTTTTAAAACCACTCAGGATTTATTGCCAGAGGTGGGAGAAGTACTCAGATCTTGTACTTGAGTAAAAGTAGAAGTACTCAGATCTTGTAGGCTACTTGAGTAAGAGTAGAAGTACTCAGATCTTGTACCGAGTAAGAGTAGAAGTACCAGAGTGTAGGAATACTCTGTTACAAGTAAAAGTCCTGCATTCAAAATGTTACTCAAGTAAAAGTACAAAAGTATTTTCATCAAAATATACTTAAAGTACCTTTACCTACTTAAAATAGCAAGTGGGTGTTCTTTTCCCCATAATGACCGCCTCGCTGCACATTATCCCTTGCATAAAAATAGACTGTGGGTCCCTTATAACAGTGCTTCTCAAACTTTTTTCAGTAATGTACCCCCTTTGAAACATTTTCTCAGCCAAGTACCCCCTGACCGACCCCGGACATTTTTGACAGAAAAAGCCTATATAAATAATTACAATATAGTGATGTTTGATTTATTAACTCCTTCATGCATGAATTACAACAAACTAAGGATATTTGTATTTTGTCCAAGGAGTTTTTCAATTGAAGTAATATATGTTTAACAAACCAATGAACAAAATGATATATTATGAAAAACTATAAATACAATACACAAATGTAACATGTTTATATGAGGACCCCCTTAGTGGTTCTCGGAATATTTTATATAAAATTGTGTTTTCTATTTAATTTATTGTACTAAGATTATTTTTGTAATCATGCATGGTATTTTTTTAATTAACCTTTTTATTTATTTTTATCTCACGTACCCCCTGCAGTACCCCAACGTACCCCTAGGGGTCCACGTACCCCCATTTGAGAATCACTGCCTTATAACATGTTATATCTCTCACAGGCTCCGCCCTCTACTGGTCTCTATGGGTACTCCCCTTGATTATATCATGCAAGCATTCATCCACTGAGACTTCTATAGACGTAGCCGGCCCCGGGGCGGGCCTACCTGAATGCGCGCGCATCTCACCGCATAAAAGGAGGCCTTGCCTCCTGACTGTCATCCCTTTCTCTTCAGCAAGCAAGAGAACAACTGAGTGAAGAGAGACGGATAGAGAAAAATGGACTCACCATTATTGGAGCAGCGACCCTGCCCTTCGTGCCTGGGCGTAATTTAGACCCTCCAGAAAAACGCGGGCTAAAATCCTTGATTATGCGGGCTAAAATCCTTGATTATGCGATTAAACATGCGGGGTTTTTATGTGATTTTATGCGGTGAAGTTGCGAAATATGCGGAAATATGCGAAAAGTTGCGAAATATGCGGGAAGCGGAAAAAAGGTGATTCTTCTCCCACACCCTGTTACTAGGCTACTACTGAATGAAAGGAAGCCCTTTTAAAGAGTTCATATGATAAACAAGCATACTAGAAGCAAGCTACATCACAGAAAGTGCTGGTAATGTTTTAGTTCTTTTTTATTATTTTCTTAACTTAAGCATGGCTTAAACATTCCTGAGTCACAACATTTTCAAAAAATAAAATAAATGCTTCCTGCTTTATAAAAGTGAGGTAGAACAGACCATCTGTTATGCTACAATAATATTTACAAAGACAGAAAGACAGAAACTGAGTAACTGTTGAACATCAACTCGCCAAAATCACAGGATTTTGAAAATAACATATCTCTCAATGAGGCAAACCTACTTGACCATTGAATGGTTCTATAAAACTTAGGTAACACAATACTGTATTGCTATGCAATAACAAAACAAAACAAAGTGCAATAATCTCTCACAACTGTAAGGTTGTAGTAAAGTTAAGCTATGTGCACAAAAACAGTGCAATGATCTTACAATTGTAAGGTTTTTTAGAATAACACACACAAGAAATAGTGCAATCTTACAACTTAAAAGTTGTATTAACTACTGAATGCATTAACAATAGTTCACAGTGTATGAAAAATGAACACAGGTTACCAACATTTTTTCAAGAGCAATCTTACAACTCTCAAGTTGTATTAATTCCTGCATTAAATGAGAGTCCACTGTGTTTGAAAACGACTGCATAGTCTGTGTCACTGTCCAATCATTCATCATCCTCCATCCCCTCTCCCTCAATATCCATGTCCTCCCACTCCTCCATATCCTCCCCCTCTATCACCTTTCCCTTTTCCTTCTCGTCCCTCTCAAACGCTCCACTGAGGATCCGTTGGTTATGGCATAAGAAGACCAAGGCTTTGAGGTTTTGGTTGGTCGTTGATCTCCTTCGGCTGGACAACACCAGCTTGTAGATGCTGTTGCTTCGTTCAGCATCGGCTGAGTTGGAGACAGCATCTTTGTATCGGTGGGCCAAGGAAGACAGTACAGGAAGTCTCTCCTGTACGCCATCCCAGAACACATCCAAATCCACCACGCCAGACAGTGCAGCTCTGAGTGCTGCTGGACCCAGGGCTGTGAAATAAGAATCAAATTCATGTCTTGGCACGTGAGTGAAACCTGGAATGGCCTTGTAGCTTTCTACAGACTCATCTAGGAATGCGATGTGACGAGGATCAAACACCCTGACCTCCTGGAGAAACTCTATGGCTGGCTGCCCATCTGACATGTACTTGGTGAGCTTTTCTTCAGCATTGACGTATGCCTCGCCAACTGTGCGGAGGATCTCGGTCTTCGTGCGGCGTGGCAGGTCAAACTCCTTGAAGTATTCGTCACATACCTCATACTGCATCTCTTTGTTGGCAGCAATGACCACCTGCAGATCTTCCAGATAATTGAAGATCTTTGTGGTCACTGGGCGTCTGCTCTCGAAGATGTCTAGTAGATTGAGGATGTGTTTGCACTTGTCAGCCATGATATTGATCTGCACATTCAGAGTCAGGTTTGGGTCTTGAAGCATGTCCTGGAGTCTCTCTACAGAATGTGGTACACTTCTGCCACACACCTGTGAATAAAAATCACAAAGAGAAAGAAAGTGATTAGGTCAAACATACAGTAAGGCTTAAATGTTACTACATTTTACGTTTATATAATTAACACATTCATGTTTGTGTGTGTAAGTGTAAGGGGCCTAATTGGTGGAGAAAGGGATAATTACTGTTATGTGAAGTTACACATTTATTTACCTGTGTTTCCATCTCGATGAACTCCTTGTACAGTCCAAAGTATTCTCTGTGGTATTGTACTGCAAAGAACCAGGAGTTCCACCGTGTTGCACAGGGGTTTGGAGGCATGGTCACCTTTTTTCTTGGCAGCTTGTTTGTCATGAAGCAGAGATATCTTCTCTTGCGTGATCCAGCATTGAAGAACATCTGGGAGAAACTCATCATGAAGCTGTTCAACTGAACAAAAGGTTTGCGGAAGGCATTACCGATGAGGTTCATTATGTGTGCCATGCACGTGATGTGCAG